CACAGGACCTTGTGCTACGAGGCAGGTGTGGTGCTGCTGAACTAAATCCCCAGCCCAGAGCTGGTGATTTTTAAAGACTCCTCTAAAACGACCATGAAAACTTATAAAAATCTATAGCATTTAAGCATTTATTTTTATTTATTTGTTTTTTAACACTCACAACACAGTGGCAGTCCACCAGTGTATTGTACCTAAGAGGCCATTTGTAAACCTAAAAAGAACAGAGCTGGAAATGCTACCAGCAATCTGAATGTCCTTACTGTAGGGCTCCATTTTCAATTCCAATTAGAACTGGGCCCAGCACCTTGGCCGGACCCAGACAATAAAATCCAGGAACTCCTAGGTCCAGATTCTCAGGGCAACTGACACTGGAGTAACATAAGCTTCCCCATGGAGCAGCCTGGCCAGAGTCGGTTGGCTTTCCTGCCAGGGTCCTGCTTCATTCAACACTTCCACCAGGGAAGGCTGTCCCCAGGGAGTGGCATCTGCGCACAAGTCAGGTGTCTCCGTGGTCCTTTCGACCACGGAACCGTCCCGGCCCATTTCTATTTCTTAAGTGGACAGAGGCTCTGCTATTTCTTTGGATGAGAGAAATCAGGACAATTGCTAGTCTTTGAACACTCTGCCTCACCGTTCCTGTTCAGTTCCTGTCCAGGACAAATAATTCCTGGAGTTTTAGCCAAATCAGACTCACTTATGCCTTGCTCTAGATCCAATCTGTAAATACAGAGCTTCCCTTCTTGAAATGAGCCTGAAAGTCCAATCTCACTTCTAGATGGTCTCCTAACCAACCCAAAAGTGACCTGGGTATTATCTGGATCACTGATTTCTAGACTGAAGTATGAACATGGAGGTTTCTAAAATACGGATTATTAACAGATTACTAGCCAAGCGTGGTGGCGCATGTCTGCAATCCCAGCAATCTAGGAGACTGAGGCAGGAAGATCCCAGATGCAATTCCACTCTGTTCAGGAGTACGTCTGTGTAAAACTTAAAAAATTTGCAGTGTAGCCAAGCCTGGTGATGCATGACTGTGATCTCATCACTCGGGAGGCTAAGGGAGGAGGATCTCCATGAGTTCAAAACCAAGCTGGTATTATTTCCTTGTTATTCATGTAAACTCCTTACAGGCAAATCATTTTTTTTTTTTAATGTTTTTCTTACAACTCCATTGTAGACTCTACTTATTGAAGAACTGCTCCTCCCCCGGGCTCAGTTTGGGAGCCAGGTTGGGCCAGCGCGCGACCTCAGGCTCCATTCCAAAGTGAGCACGGCACCCGGCACCCGAGGGCGACAGCCAGGCCCCCAGG